CATTGTCAGTTTATTTTCGACTTCTGAGTTTGAATGTCCCTTTGGTATCTTTCTCCTCTCTTTTATATACACAAGAAAACTTCCGAAGTGACAGATCTACATTCACGATGTAACTTTAAATACATTGGGTATTAAATTAAGAAAAAAATCATCAATTTCTTCTCAGGTAAATCCAGTTTCTTCGTATCAGACATACAAGGCAAAATAAAAATGGTTCGTCAAAATTTAATGAGAATAAACTGGGACAATTATCTAATGTCAGTGCAATAGTCACATGCAGGAATAAAAAAACTCAAATAAGATAGTAGAAGAGTTACGGTAAAATTTTAACTAGAATATACCCCTCATAATCATAAAACACGCTTCCTATTGGCAATTTATTGATATCGACTGACAGCAAATACCAATTATGGATGATCAATACCAACCGTGACATGTCCATAGTAAGTGGGTGATAAAAATCCGACGAGTATCATATCATCTGCTTTAGATCAGGGGTCAGTGCTTTATCTGTGCATGGCTATCGTATCTATGCTCTTGGACATAATATATTATTCCAATAGTTACTTTAATATTTTGGTATATATTTTTACTGCTCTAACCGAATAATACTAACACAGAAATAAATTTCTACTTCACAAAAGCAATTGATATACAAAATATGTAAAAAACGACCTAGACAGGGTTAAAATTTCGAATCTAAATAGATAGTGAATTCCTTGCAATATTTGTTTTTATATATTTGTTCATATTTCTATCAGATGAAATAATAATCAGAGCTATCTCAATGTTAACTATTCATAATTTAAAATAAAAGCAAATTGGTTTGCTTTCGTGTGTATGTTTATTAATTAAACTAAATAACTATAAATTTTGTCTCATTCTATCTTATTCAACTTCGTACTTTATTTGGCCTTTTAGACTTTTTAATCTCACCTGGCCCAATGGGCCAAGTAAGTTTTTCTCATCACTTGGCGTCCGTCGTCGTCGTCCTTGTCGTCGTCCGTAGTCGTTAACTTTCACATAAATCTTCTCTGCTGAAACTACTGGGCCAAATTTAACCAAACTTGGCCACAATCATCATTGGGGTATGAAGTTTAAAAAATGTGCCCGATGACCCCGCCTGCCAACCAAGATGGCCGACATGACTAAGGATATAACATAGGGGTAAAATGCAAGTTTTGTGTATTATTTTGAAAACCGTTATAAATAGAGAAAATCTGAGAGGTGCAAAAATGTTCAGAAGTTAAGCTCTACCAATTGTTCATATACGTCAACACTGTCAGACGACTTTTTATAGGAGTTATTGCCCTTAAATGACAAATTTTACCATTTTTTCCATTTTTGTCTATTATCTTGAAAACTATAGTAAATAGAGACAAACTTTAAATAGCACAACTGATCAGCAAGCCAAGTTCTACAAATAAGTCTGTATGGTCGAAATCCATCAACTCCTTATTTTTGTAATTGCCCTTTGATGACGATTTTTGCAAATTTTTTGCGTTCTTGCCTTATATCTTAAAAATTATAATAGATAGATAGAAACTAAATTAATCAAAATGATCAGCAAGACAAGATCTACAATTAAAACAACATGGAGGAAATTGTCCGACAACTCCTTATTGGGGTTATTGCCCTTTAATGATGATTTTTTATACGCCCGTCAAATTTTTGACGGGACGTATTATGGTATACAAATGTCCGGCGTCCGTCCGTCTGTCTGTCCGTCTGTCTGTCCGGCGTAAACATGTCGCACCGTAACTTGAGAATGACTTATCCAAATTTCATGAAACTTAACATAGTTGTTTCTTATGATAGTCAAACGATCTGTATACTTTTTGGTGAAAATAAGATTAAAACTTTTTGAGTTACGGGACTTAGTAACTAAAACAGGTGTGTGTTTTTTTTCACATGTGCCGCTGTATCTCAAAAATAATTTATGATTATTGCTTAAAACTTTACACACTTCTTAGTTATATTAATCTTAAGATCTGTATACTTTTTGGTGATGATTCAAAATTTTATTTTAGAGATATTGAGTATTTTGTTAAAAAAGGGGGAGGGGTTTTTCACATGTCGCGCCGTATCTCAAAAACTATTTATGATTTTTGCTTAAAATTTTACACACTTCTTAGTTATATTTATCTGAAGATCTGTATACTTTTTGGTTTTGATTCAAAATTTTATTTTAGAGATATTGAGTTTTTGTAAAAAAAAAAGGGGGTTTTCGCATGTCACGCCGTATGTCAGAAACTATTTATGCTTATTGCATAAAAATTCACACACAAGACGACGGGCGTATCATGCGCTCATGGTGCAGCTGTTTATTACCATTTGTTTTGCGTTTTGCCTTATATGTTAAGTGCCAGTCTGCCTAAGGATCAGGCAGTGACCAAAACATGATAGTCTCAGATTTTGATGAAAACTTGCACAAATCATCTCAATAACAAGTTTTAAAGAAAAAAATACTTTTTGGACCATTAAAATATGGTTGCTATGGTAACCAAGCCATTTGATTTATACAAAGCAAGGCTTATTGAGATTAGCATAAAACTCACAGTATTTTTCACTATTTCAGTCTCATGAAAACTGCTGATAATGTCAAATCTAGTATTTCTCCATTGTACTGCAACTTTTTCAACTATTGAATATTCTTGAAGAACAGCTGTTATGATGAAATTCTATTTCATTCTAGAAATTTTGGGGTTAGGATGGTCTCCATGGACCATAATGTCCAAAATAGCCAAAAGAGGCCAGAAATCAAGTTCAAATATTTTCTATTACCAGAACAGCACATACATGGTGTTACTTAATATGGAACAAGTAGTGGTCAAACTATCATTATTTAATAAAAGCTCGGTGGGTTTTTTCCAAATATTGAGTAACCATAGCAACAAAGTTAACCCTATAGCAAAAAAGCTAAAAAACAAATTGTAACAAATGTATTCAATATTAAAGTCTAAATGCATATATATGGACTAAATATGATTTATTTAAGCTAGTCACATTCGAGTGTTGTCAATTGTTCCCATTTTTGACCAGAAAGTATTACATAGCAACCAAAAAATGTCCTTAGCAACCAAAATGAACAAACCTAAAATTTAGTTTTTTTTAAACAAAAATATTCTCCAGTGCAAAAAGTGACGTTTTTGTGATCAGATATGAATCATTTCTATATAGAATAACTAAATTAAACAATATCTACATTACATTAGCAACAACTAAAAACCTCCCAGTAACAAAATAGATTCTTTCCATGCCAATAATTAAAATAAAAAAAGATAATAAAAAATACTATCAACATGTATTTTTTTTTATCTAAATAGCTGTTTTTTAATAAAAATCTAGGAAAAGCCATTATAAATATTGTGATGGGTTCTCATTACCCCCTTACTTATAACTGATAAACAGTTGTATGCATACATGTATAACTATAAAGGAGGATATTTTCAAAGGTTTCCCATTTTTGGTGTGAGCTTACTTCTTATACCAGATTCATATTGGTTTGAGACCTATCATTATAGTCACCGACACTATCATGCTTTAATTTTTTTTATTACAACCTGGATCTGCATAACAACCATGAATACTCCTTAGCAACAGTTAAGTATGCATATTCCACCTTCATTCTATCAAAATTATAGGCTATTATTAAAATTATGCAATGTTTTATGTTAAATGCTTCAATATTGAATTGCTATTAATACTTGAAAACTGACCGGAACTAAAAAAAACCTTAACGTTGACCTTTGAATCTTAAAAATGAGGTAAAGGTCAGATAACACCGACTTCTTAGACATATACACCTTGCAATCGTTCTATACACCAAATATAGTTTAAGCTATTACTTGAAAAACAGACCAAAACACACTAAAAAAAAGTTGACCAATGAACCCTGAAAATGAGGTCAATGTCATATGAAACCTGCCAGACTGACATGTTCTTATAATTATTCCATACACCAAATAAAGTTAACCTATTGCTTAAAGTACTTGTAAGATGGACCAAAACACAAAAACTTAACATTGACTAATGAACCATCAAGGTCAGGTGGAACCTGCCAGATCTAGACTGACATCTATCCCTTACAATCATTCAATACACCACACATAGTTGACCTGCTTATAGTATAAGAGAAATGAACCTATTCATACATGCATGTTACTTTGACCTTAATCACTGATCCATGAAATGAGGTTGAGGTCAGGTGAACCCTGTCTGACCAACATGTAGACATAGCCAGTAACCCATATACCAAATATAGTTATCCTAATATTACTCATAATAAGTGAGAAATTCACATGACCAAAAAACTAAAAAAAAATCAAGCAGTGGCTGAACCATGAAAATGAGGTCCAGGAAATTGGACATATGACAGACGGAAACTTTGTATCATAAGGTATCTGCAAACAAGCTCTTCTTATTTATATGAACAAGCATTCTGAGAGTATTGCATGGCAATACATAGTCCCCTACCGGTTAAAAATTAATTGTCCTGGAACAAAATGCTAACTTGATCTATAACTTGTCATGGTGTAAACTATATAACAAAAATATCAAGTCAATATCTTCAAGCATGACGAAAAAAAGTGCTAAAAACTGATAATTTAAGTGAATTTTCTAAGTCCAAGGACCATAACTCTGCACAAAATCATCAGACCGGAACAAAATTCGAACTTGATCTGTAACTTGTCATGATAAAACAATATACCAAATATCAAATCAATATCTTCAAGCATGAAGAAAAAAAGTGTGGAAAACTGATTTGCCGGACTGACAGAAGGACAGACAGACAAGACAGACAGACGAAGTGCAAACCTAAAGTCCCCTTTGACTTCGTAGGGGACTAAAAATGCAGGTCTTTTACCATCTAAAATATAATACATGTAGTTGGCCCTGCAACTGTCAGATAGTAATGCCTTTGTGTGGCATACTGCGAGACAAAAATGTATGTCATAATAAACATGCAACATTTTTCAAAAAGAAAACAGTAAATTACACAAATTATTGCATTCATTTATTATAATGTTTTAAAAAATAACTGACCAAAATTAGAGATTAATGTATGCTAGTACAGGAAAAGCTCATCCAAATTCTGATTTCAGAATGCAAGTTCTTATCATCGAGATACTCAACCAATCTCAACATTCAAATGTTTTTAAAAAATTTACAGTATTCAGATTGTTCAGAGTCTTCTAATATTTATCATGTCTTATTATTTTATCTGTCATTCAGATTTGGTATATCTGTTCTTTAGGTTCAAACATGACTATGCAATCTCCATGAATAGAGGCTATAAGTTGTCATCCTTCACTTCAGAAATGTTGGTCAATTTGAAGGCATGCTATTTCCTTATGTCCATTCGCAACAAACATTTTGATCTTCCTACTCCAGTGCGCAATATTGGCATCACAATATGATGAGCCTCATTGAACTTTGCTGTAGTCGAATCTTTTAATCATCAATCCTGCAATCATATGAAATTTCAGTAAAAATCAAAATAAATATATTAGCAATTTATTTACAGTTCATATTGATAATTTCAAGTTCAATGGATCATTTTGGTTGAATGAAATGATTGAAGTTTAAAAAACGAATACTCAGGAAACGGCCATGAATTTTGGTACATGTATGTGGACAATGGGACCAATATATAAATTTATGTGCAAGACCCAGGTGGAAGATTGTTTTTTCTTGCTTACCAGTGATTTCGCAATCACTTGTCATTTTTCCCTTTATAAATATCAAAAGTATTTCTTCATTTTTTGTCACTAAAATATGTAAAAGTTAGTTAAATAATAAACTTGACACAGTCTGTATGTTAATTTGATAGAAAAATTCAAATGATGAAATCAAATAGTTATACTCTGAAATGTAAAAATATGCCAAATATTCAAAGTGAATGAACCATTACTGAAAGTAAAGGGCCTTAAAATGTTTGTAGAACTAAGAAATGCCATTAATGCTAAATACAACTGCATACCAAATAGGAGGGTGGTAATGGGGGTACCATCATGACAAAAAACGATAAAAATTCTTGCTAAATGACGTTAACGGTAATTTTAGGTCCATGACAATAAAATGTACACTTTCTTATAGACGATAAAAAAATCTACTGATTTTGACGAATCACGTTAAATTTTTTCCAAAATTAACAGTAACAATAATTTTTTGAGGCCTCTGACGAATCACGATAAGGATATTTTGATGAATCACGGTACAATTTTAACCAATTTGACGCTAAAGGTAGCCGAAAATGACCGTTTGACGCCTGATGGTAAAAGGCATTCCTACCTTCAAATAAAACATGTAAAACTGACTTATTATAAGTGGTTCTTTGTTAACTGATCTATACATGAAATCACAAACTTTAAAATGTAAACTTTGCTAAAATGACAAGATCAATATACCATGACTTGGGGCTGCGGTAAGGGGACAGGGCCAAATAATCTCCATGGATAGAAGATGCATCAAATTGAATGATAATACAACTTTATATCAAATAATATTTATTTATTATTAGTAGTTTCACTTAAACTTTGACCTAATCAAAATTTTTTAAACACCAATATGTTTTGAGTAGGGAAAGGAAATGCATGATTTTTGTACATGCAAAAAAACTCTCGATGTTGTTGACAATATATGTGTAGGTGATCTCGGCTAAACTCTTAGCATTGTCAAAATTTTACTCAAGTAGCTCCAGCAGAAAATGTAGGTCATGTTGACCTAGTTCTTGTTGTAACATATATATATATACATGTATATCTTATATCATAAGATGAATTCACCACTTGCTCAACACTGAACCAATATGCAAAAATCATTTTGTAAATCAGCATTTGCATACCAACGGGGAAATCTATGAGCTGTCCCGTTGTGGATGGGGATCATCCCGATGCAAAAAACATCTTGTAGCTAAAGCAATTCTTATCTATTTCTAAAATCACAAAATAATGTATAAAAAGATATTTCACCTAAAAATATGGACCCAGTGGGGATAGGTTGAAGTAAACAATCAATTACTGGAATTTACTGGTATATAAAATATTTGAATTCAAATAATTTTTACCTCTTCAGTGCAACATGTGCAATAGTCTTTTCAAATATTAAAGGTATGTGTGTTTACAAATCTCCTCTGCAATTCAGCAAATCCTGAAGAAAAAGTTTCAAATTTGTTAAGTCTGATAAAAATATATACATGTATATGAATGAATGATATAATTTATTAAGACAATACAAATTTCTTTGAAGCTCTTACTTTAGACCAATTTAATAAGTTGCAAATAATATTAACTGAGACAAATCATTTCCCTAAGTACAGGTTATGCAGAATACAATGCATGTTTTAACCCCTGAGAGCTAGAGTTTCAAGGACTGGGTTCATTTTTTTTTTATACATTCAAAAATTATAAATATGGTAATGGGCCTAAGGCAAACCAAAAATGTGTACATGTGTGTTTGAAGTACTAAAAATACTGACCTTTATTTTATGATTAAAATTGCCTACAGTACAGGATACCGGAAAGATTTTCTTGTCATATTTTAATAGCACCGATAAAAACAATATATTCCTCCCATTAAGCCAATAAGGTACGGTTTAATAAATCAACCAATAAAAAATATTTCTGTAATTTGTTGGCCTATTTAAAAAAAAATAGTTGTTCCTTCGATAACCTAACCAAGTATAAACATTTCTGTAAGCTTTGAAAAAGCCCTATTTCAGTCAGGGGTACTACTTGTACAAGTTATCTTTATTTACTTGAAGAAGTAAAAAAAAATATACTTATATAAGTTAATTATAATGTTTGAATAATCTCCCCTTAATTTTCCCAAAAATTTACTTGTATAAGTAAATTTTTTTACAATCCCACAAAAATACTCAAGTTTTGAGATGTAAAAACATGCCTTTAATGATTTTTCCCAGGTTAGCTCATAATTTTTGATTAGAGTTCAATGTTTCATCTCATTAATTCAACAAAGAAAATGATTGCGCAAAGATCTTAAGTATTTGCGCAAGGCCTTCAAAAATTGCCCCTTGGGGGCTTGTAAATGAGCAGTGCTCTGAAGATAACAGACAAATGAGATTTTCATTGTCCATGAAATTACACTAAATTAATAAATAAAGACATCTGCAAAGGACAGACAATTTAAAATTCTATTAGAGCAAAGAAGTCCTAAGAATTCAAGAAAAGAAGATAGGATGACTTTTTTACTTATTTAAGTAAAAAAATCTGAATGTCTAAGGGACATAACTAAGCCAAAAAATTATTTACCTATACAAGTGAATAAAATACACTTGTATAAGTACCGGGTAACCTAAAAATTTACTTATATAAGTATATTTATATTTACTTCTTCAAGTAAATAAAAATTACTTGTATAAGTAGTACCCTGACTGTATTTATGTTGCGTCAAATAATTTCCCCTTTTTAAACCAGTCAAAAACTTTTAAAAACAATAATTTTCCTACATGTACATGTACCTATCTAACCTAATTCTTTTCAGCTGTTGTAGAAACACTGGTGCTATCTTTTTAGGCCTAAATGCATCATAATGTATCAAACCTTAAAAATTTGCTAAAGAATTGCATGTGAACCTTCCTTTGGAAGGGCAATAATCCATTTTTCAGGGGTCTCCTTCAGTTTAGTACACACTCATATTTTTGGCTAGCTGCGGAACCGTAGCTCTTAGGTCCTTATGTTATTTTTTTACTATTTGCGGATGGTCCGCAAATAGTCAAAAAATAACATACATGTAAGGACCTAAGAGCTACGGTTCCGCAGCTTATGTTTGGCAATATCAAAATATTTTCTAAACATCCTTTATAAAGTATGAGAAAAGAAACCAGCTTACATGTCAATCTACAAGAAAAAAACAGCCAAAAAACAAAATATGAGTCTGATAATGAGCCCCCCCTTTTTTTATATTCATGTTGAACCTAAACCATTTTCAATACAATATATAATGGGGGAGGAGAATGGAGTATGACCAAAATAATCTTTTGAATATATATGTAAATAGTGTACCCTGTGTTTCTGTAGAACAGAGAAAAAAGGCCCTGCTCATCTGGATGGGCACTGCTCTGTCTGGCTTTGATCCTTCTTTTGTGAGACGGTTGTGCACAACCAACATTCCTTCTTATAATCTCATGCATATTCCTAGGGTTTGTTGGTGTTTTAGACAAAGTATGAATGTACATGTAATTGGGAAAAGATCCCAATATTGTAAAAAATTGTTGTGATTCCGAGTATATCTAAATACCAATAGATACCTTGGATGGTCGTTCCTGCAGTCAGGAACGGCCGGATTGCTCTTCAGTGATATATGTCGTCTGTATAGCCATTACAAGTAATAGCTTTTCTAAAAAGCTTGCCGTATTTTAGCTGCTTATACATGTATTGAGATCGGTGGTTTGTGGGTATAGGGTTTTTTATTGGAATCTTGCACTCCAAGCATAAGAATATATAGTGTCTTTTTTCTCCTGGTTTTTGATTTTAGTTGTAGTATTGGTGAATCAGGGTTATTATTGAAGGAGGCTTGATAGTCACATATGATAATATATATATATGGTTTGTAATAGCTAAAGTAACGATACAAACACTTTTTTGTTTGTTTTGTGGAATATGATTGTTTACTCTTTATGACAATGCAAGTAGTTTTAACATGCATACTGTGTCTTGACAGTTATGTAATAGTTAGCAAGGTTATAATCAAGTTGATAAGAAAAACGTATTATTTACTTTTGAGGATTACTGCTAGACAAAATGGACTACCAGTGGCAGATCTAAAAATTTTCATAAGAGGGGGCCAGCTCCAGTCATGCTTCAGTGATTCACTACATGTATATGATCAACCAAAGTTTTCCCACGAAAGGGGGGAGGGGGTCCCTGAAAAACTCTAAATCCGCCTCTGACTACTGTAGTTGGCCGTTCGAATATGAGAATATTACCTTTTATATGTATAGAAGACAGTGGTCTCTTTAGCCCAAATAAGAAAGGCGCCGCACCCTGGGTGCCCTTAGCCACGCCCTGGGTGCCTTCAATTGCGCCCCTCTCTGACGCCTTTTTCCAAGGGGGGGAGAATAGTAAGTTTATTTCGCTTCTTTTGGTTAATAGTGATCTGATGTATGAATGTGTATTGCCATGTTTTATGAACATGTAGTATGAATGACTTTTCTAAGGCAAATTTGATAGAGTAAATAATCAAAACAACAACTTATGCATCTTTATTAACAACATATACAGTAAAAAAAAAGTGAACTCGTGATACACACAGAAACGTAGACAAAAGAAATGAAAAGTGCCTTTTCCTATCAAAAAAAAAGTGCCCTGCCCTTCACTGGCACCCTGTCCCTTTCTATTTCTAGCTGGGGCACTTCAAGTGATGAATATCTCATCTGGCTTTTGTCTTAGAAGAAGCAATTAGTTTTGAAGGTACAGGTTAAGTGTTGTTATTACTAATTTCCAGATGTAGTATAACTGTAAGAAGATGTTTTGTGGTAATGGATTTGGAATGAAATATTAGTTGCAAATAATTTTCTAGAACATGTTGTCAGCTGGCTTCTAATTTTTTTTATTATTTTGTTGCGGTTTGTAATCTTGACATTTTTTTTTTAAGTTCTCTAGATGAGAGCTTCATATTGGTATTATCTTTTAGTGCTTTATATTTGGTTGCATTTGTAAGCATATGCTTTTGTTAGTTGGAATATATATATTTTCATTTCTGATGGCAACAAGTTCATGTAATACATATAGTCAGGATTATTAGTAAGCGATAGTTGTTTTGTTTGTTTATGTTTATTGTCATGATTGATATGGACTATATAACTTGCTGTTTGGTGTGAACCAAGGCTTCATGTTGAAGACCGTACTTCAACCTATAATGGTTTACTTTTACAAATTGTGACTTGGATGGAGAGTTGTCTTTGGTACTGATATGACATTCTGTTATATCTATCGACAAGATTGAGAACACATTTTTTTTGTAATAAAACATATTTAATTCTACGATATCATATTTAACAATTTATCGGTAATTTGTGCATTTTTCCTTTGATGTGTACTCTCTGATAATGTCAGTATCAGTTGACTGGTCGTGATATATAAGTTATTGGGTCAGTTCGCAATTGACATGCTCAGGTGCGCTGTGTCAGGATCTTCTTTCCCCTTTCATTCACAAAATCATGCATGATTTTTTTTTTGCAGAATCGCAAGAGTGTTTTGGTGAATGAAACACTTCTCATATTGTTTGAAATTTTTAGTAAAGTTAGTTTTGCCTTTTTGACAGATTGTGTGAAAATTCGAACAGAATATGAATAAAAAACCCAATACACTTTAAAATCAAAGCGCGAAAGCGCTGTAAAGGCAGTTAATTACAGGTTGTGTTTATTTTTAGTCCAGTTATATCAATATCTTGCAAAGTACAGTGTACTTATCAGAGGTGGCTTTCAGTATTTAAGATTTAGAGTTCTCTAATGATATTGAACAAGTTATATGAATGTCATATTCTGAGCACTATATGAAGGTGATTGTTCTCACTTGTTTATGAACTAGTGCATGATGTCCAGTTTGTACCTTTTTTATCTATGTTTATAGTCAAATTAGTTATCAAAGGTACCAGGATTATAATTTAATACGCCAGACGCGCGTTTCGTCTACATAAGACTCATCAGTGACGCTCAGATCAAAATGGTTATAAAGCCAAACAAGTACAAAGTTGAAGAGCATTGAGGACCCAAAATTCCAAAAAGTTGTGCCAAATACGGCTAAGGTAATCTATTCTTGGATAAGAAAATCCTTAGTTTTTCGAAAAATTCAAAGTTTTGTAACAGGAAGTTTATAAAAATGACCATATAATTGATATTCAAATACTAGTTAAAATAGTTAGGCATTTTCTTTTTAGTAATAAGTAAATGTTATCAACTGTATTTTATTCAACTCTGCAAATATGGTTTGTTACTGTTAAGTATGGATGATAGTTGTTTCATTGGCAATCATAACACATCTCCTTATTTATATAATGATCTATATTCAACGACCTCAGGTACAAAAAAAATGTATGTAACTTAACTATGATGGGAAACCTTTGACTTCTTTCTTTTATATAAACTTTTGATTTGGTACCATAGAACTATGTAGAATAAATGTACATTCCAACATGTCAACTCTTTCAATGACAATACTTTTTTAAGAAACTATAACTCCAAGCAAAATTATATTTCCAAGTTTAAAGTAATTTATGAATGAAAAAAGGAGTTCTTAATTAAGAAATAAACTGATTCGCTGAGCGCAGCTGGATACACCCGCAGAGGTCCAACCCTGAACAGTTGGGGCAAAAATGGACACAATATTCAAGCTTGATACAGGTCTGAATTTGGATTGTAATTAAATATTTGACATATTATAGTTTCTGAATAAATGTAGTCAAAGAACTTGAAATCGGTTATATGAATTGAATTTATATTCAATTAAAGATTTCTTGCTGTTGTGCAATACACTGTGCTGTTGCGCAATACTTAATGAATCTGTTGCCAGACTATAAACAAATAAAGTTCAATTTCTTCTCAATGTCATATTTGAAATTTATGAAAATCTATAGGGAGATTACATCAATAGCTATAAATAATTCACCAAAGTTTCATGCGAACTGCTTAAAGCATTTTTGAGTTGTTGTCCAACAAGAGTGCACACGCTGAAATGTCTCGCCTTCTTTACTAATCACTAATATCATGTTGATAGTCCTTAATATAAAGCTTCATTACAACTGTCACATAAACTTAACATTAACCAAGAAAACTAAACATTGACCAATGAACCATGAAAATGAGGTCAAGGTCAGATGAACCATGCCAGGCAGACATGTACAGCTAACAATTCTTCCATACAACAAATATAGTTGATATATTGCTTATAGTTTAAGAAAAACAGACCAAAACACAAAAACTTAACACTGAGCAATGAACTGTGAAAATGAGGTCAAGGTCAAATAAAACCTGCGCGACTGACATATAGATCATAAAATATTTCCATACACCAAATATAGTTGACCTATTGCATATAGTATTAGAAAAAAAGACCAAAACTCAAAAACTTAACTTTGACCACTGAACCATGAAAATGAGGTCAAGGTCAAATGAGACATGCCAGCTAGACATGTACACCTTACAATCATTCCATACACCAAATATAGTAGACCTGTTGCATACAGTATAAGAAAACAGACCAAAACACAAAAACTTAACTATAACCACTGAACCATGAAAATGAGGTCAAGGTCAGATGACACCTGCCAGTTGGACATGTACGCCTTACAGTCCTTCCATACACCAAATATATACTTGACCTATTGCTTATAGTATCTGAGATATGGACTTGACCACCAAAACTTAACCTTGTTCACTGATCCATGACATGAGGTCGAGGTCAAGTGAAAACTGTCTGACGGGCATGAGGACCTTGCAAGGTACGCACATACCAAATATAGTTATCCTACTACTTATAATAAGAGAGAATTTAACATTACAAAAAATGTTAACTTTTTTTTCAAGTAGTCACTGAACCATGAAAATGAGGTCAAGGACATTGGACATGTGGCTGACGGAAACTTCGTAACATGAGGCATCCATATACAAAGTATGAAGCATCTAGGTCTTCCACCTTCTAAAATATAAAGCTTTTAAGAAGTTAGCTAACGCCGCCGCCACATCACTATCCCAATGTCGAGCTTTCTGCGACAAAAGTCGCAGGCTCGACAAAAACTGGAAAATCCCCCCTTTTTTAATGAATAAAACCCCATAACTCAGAAATGTAAAATCTAAAATTTATAAAATTCTAAAGGGAGCTTACGGATTGATAATTTAGTCTTAGATGCAAGATTTTTTTATCAGTTGTTAGTGGCTTTGAACTAGCTGTCAGTAACTTTGAGTACTCTCAGATCTGTACTTAGTGTCTTTTTGTTGTTTGGATTTACAACTACCCGACCACGTCCACTTGTATTTGTATTTATCCATCTGATAAGTTAAGCCTCTTTCAACTGATTTTTATAGTTCGTTCTTATATTGTACTGTTACACCACTGTCCCAGGTTAGGGGGAGGGTTGGGATCTCACTAACATGTTTAACCCCGACACATTCTGTATGTACATGTATGTGGCGTGCCTGTCCCAAGTCAGGAGCCTGTAATTCAGTGGTTGTTGTTTGTTTATGTGTTGCATATTTGTTATATTCGTTCATTTTTTGTACATAAATTAGGCCGTTAGTTTTCTTGTTTAAATTGTTTTACATTGTCATTTCGGGGCCTTTTATAGCTGACTGTGCGGTATGGGCTTTGTTCATTGTTGAAGGCCGTACTGTGACCTATAGCTGTTAATTTCTGTGTCATTTGGTCTCTTGTGGAGAGTTGTCTCATTGGCAATCATACCACATCTTCTTTTTTATATTTACATCAACAGATATAAACAATTCACCAAAGTCAAGGTGAGACAACAAAACTTAGTGGTAAGATCTCTGAAATGTTTTACATGGTACAAGTTTTTCTCATTGTTGGAGATTGTACGGTGACAGTAACACCTGTAACTGCTTAAACCCATTTCTTATGCACTTTAGTTCGATAAACTCACTGAATATCATACCACATCTCCTTATTTTTATATGCATTACAATTTACATGTGCATGTAATTATAAATACATGTATATATATATCAGAACAAAATTCATTGCGTCACTTTTATTTATGCATCCTTTGGCACAATACAAGTTCTAAAATTACACAACATAGTACAACTAAATGTTATTTCAGATGAAAGTTTTGTTTTAGTTCCATTCATAGGATTTATTAGAATTTTGTATGTTTTGCCAAGTCCAATAATTCGCTCTATGTGCACATGTTAATTGGAGACTTTTCTATCCCGTATAAGAGTTTTGGAACTAATTCTGTTTCTTTTTTTGAAAAAAGTTAGCAAACAAATCTTGCACATTTAAACCTTTGTCTGCCATCACACTGTCACCTGGATCACATAATTGAACTATTCTACATCTTTCAACTATTTCATAGTCACTGGTAGAACCAACATATGCATTAGAGACATCGTTGACTAAACCACCAGGTGTCGAACATACAAGTATTTTCAGTGTTTCTGTTTTTATATGATGAAAAGGTTGCCTGAGCTCTAGGAGCTTTAGGTTTTATCACGGGATATTCTGTGCTGTCAATAATAATCCAAGTCGTAGGAAACTTTAATTTGAAGTTGGATGGTGAAAAATACCTGACTAAACCACTAGATGGCCAAGTGTTAGCCTCACACCACTGTTTAGACATAAAAACAATCCATGTATACACAATATTCTTAACACTAGATTCAATCTAGAATCTAGAAAGTTCAAAGTTGGTTGTATAATGCCTCAATTTCATCAAAGTCATAAAAAAACTGATTTTCAACTGACACCCTATCAATTTGAAAATATATGTATCTCAAACAATGTGCTGCTGGACCAAGTGTGGTCAAAACAAATAAAAATTTAGTATACAACTCTAAACCGGTATAAAAATGCATGGCTGTGTCACATGTCTTCATTTCAAAATTCTCTGCTGAAAACATAGGCATTGATGGTGTTTGCATAATTCCATCTGTGAAGCTCAACATTTGCTCGGCAGTTGGTGGTGGACAGTCATAAATCCTTTCTGCAGTATGAATGACTTCTTCAGGAAAACCAACTTTACAATCAAAACTTTCCTCTAGATTTCTACTACAATATTCATCAAGTTTGGTTCTTTTGTTTTCACAGGAAACTGCCCTGATTTTTCTTTTTGCGGACGATTCAGTCTCTTGCTTGGTCCAGGAAAATAGGCTGGGAATGGCAGTAGACTTAAGTCTCTGAATGGTGGGTTTGCGCCCTGAAAAAGGTTATAAAACATTAGTTTTTTGATAATTAAATGAACTTCCATTAGCAATGTATACTTTGTATTACCTGGCGAAATATTAACTAGATTTATTCATTACAATCTGGATAAAACTATGTTTGCCTAATTCAATGTATGTTATGTAAATCCAAAGGACAAACAATGAGAGACTTATGCAACAAATGTACATTGTTTATACCTAAATAACTACAGTGTTCCAGCTAGGATTTGAAAATAGAGGGGCGCGTTTTTAAAAAAGGGCACTTTAGCGCGTTCTCACTGAAAAAAATCAAATACTTAATATTACCACATAATGACATATTTTTAGCAAGCATGTAGCTAAGTTAAATACTCTATACTATTATATACAAGTTTAAAAATCATTTATTTAGAACATATAAGTTAAAAACAAACTGAGAGCACTAACAGTCATTACTTTATTCATTTCTCTTTCAGAACTACAGTCCAGATTTTTTCAAAGAAGAGTTCAAATGCAAATAAATATTATACAACATTGACAAGTCTTCTGTTTTTCTTTTTGAAGAAGGTTGTCACACATTGGTCAAGAATTTTTTCAAATTTAGTTTCATCACAGTTTAATTTTACAGTTAATATTTTTGTTAATGTCTGTGTTTTCAAGTTTGCCCTGTGACTTGTCTTTATCAATTTGACCTGAGAGAATATTCTCTCCACCTCTGCTGTACTGAGTGGTTGTATTATTGCAACACTGAATAGTTTTGCAACAAGAGGGTACATAGATAATAGGTTTTTATCCTTATGACAAGGTGAATGAAATAGTTCTAGCAGACTAGGTAAGGAACGATCTGTAAGTTCTGCTGATGACACAAGAGCTATAAAGTCCTGCCATTGAATAAGGAGAGTTTCAGGGTCCATGTCAAATGTATTTGCCAGAGCTTCTATCTCTGTATAACCATACATTGTTTCAATGTTGTCTGTTCCTGTAAGATCTAAAATGGCCAACTGATCGATTGTGTCAGCATCCTTAAATCTAACTGTTATATTTTCAATTAATCCATTGAGAAAGCACTCTCTGACTTTAGTGTCAAAATCTACTGGGGGTGGGTCAGTAATGTTACATGTGCTTCTTAAATGTTCCTCTTTTTGAAGCCATGGGCCATTCTGGGTCTTTCTTGTTGTCAACAAATTGACAGTTTTCTCCACACTTGTTTTAATGTTGCCAAGATGAACATCCCTCTTCTGAAAAACAAGTGAGAGGCTACAAATGTGTGGCAGCACATCTGCAAGTAGCAAAACAGCTTTCAGCATGGCAGGATCTTTAAGATTTTTAAGCAAGCCATTTCCCACTGGATCAGTTCGAATTTCTGCAGACTCTAAATGAACAACAAGAGACCTGTATGATCGTGCAATTGAGGATATTGCTTGGTCATGACTTAGCCAGCGATGATGTTTTGCTAGTTTAATAGCTAAAGGTGCCTGATCAAAAGCTTTCTGTATTTCTTTAAGTCTATCAGTGTTGCAGCAGCTATATTTATAATACTTATATAAAGCTTCAAGCACCTGGTCAAGCTTCTTCATGAGTAGGATTTGCTTAAAACTGTCTCTACAGGCAAGGGCTAAACGGTGATCTCTGCAATGATGTGTCAAAAGGTGAGGGTTAAGGTCCTTCAGTTGTTTGGAAACACCATTAATGCGGCCTGTAAAAACGGCTGCACCATCTGATGCAAATCCTGCCATATCTTGAATTGAAAGTTCACGGCTACTTAATTCATCTGTTATAGCTTCAGTTATGTTATCTGCTTTTGCATTTGGCAATTCAATGTCTGTTAAGAATCCATTTTGAACTTTACCATCCTTGCTAATGTAACGTGTACAAATAGCTAAATGCTTAATTGTCCTGTTATCGGTAACTTCATCTACCATTGTAGCATAACATGGACTGGCTTTCATATCATCCAACAGCAGTTGATGTACTTTTGAACTTAATATTTCCAACAACTCATGAACTGTATCCCAGCTTGAATAAGTAGCATTTTTAGCTAAACGAAGTTTAGATAAATCTGTTGCTCCAACATCAATGCAGAGATCAACTGTTGATCCAAATAAGTCAAGTGGCAAGTGATGGCGCAGAATAAAAAATAGAACTTTCAGAGCATCCTTCACTGCTTTTTGTGCACCAGTAGATATATTAGAAGCCATGTCATCAATGGTGTGTGCCATATCTAAAGTTATTGCATATTTATGTTGTTCACTGTCTTGATGGATTTGTATCTTATCTTTGCGCAACAGTTTATAACCTACAGTAGACCATGTCTGACTACCATTACTTCCGTGTGATTGATGCTTGTTACAAAGTTTGCAAAGCATGACATCAACTAATGTTCCATCCTCACTAAAGTCTTTGTCAAAATATAACCAGGAATACTGTTTCAACCAATTATTATTTATACCAACTTTGTGTTTCCCACTAGGATTTCTTGTTCGTGTGGAGGAAGGAAGTGTAGGGTTAGGATTTTCTTGAGCTGCTTCATTTGCTTGTATTTGTGGTTGTATAGGAGTTTTGGTTGTCTCAATTACAATTTCAGGGGTCTGATTTCCATCATTACTGAAAGAAGATAGGGAGAGTGGGGTAAACTTTACATTGAAAATTGTGTAGGTTTGGTTGGGAATTTAAATAAGAGTGCCAATGAGACAATTGTCTTTATTTCGATCTTGAGAAATAGAGTAATTCAACAAATAAGTTTGTTAATTCAACTTTGAAAGTTTATTATCAATTCAACAGGCATATCCGTATTTTTCATGTTGAGCGTATCAATATCAATAAGTTTGTCAAAACGGATTTCAATAAGAAAATTGATACAAAAATCGGACTTTCGAGAGCTCCGTAATCGGCACAATGATAAATTAATTCAACTTTGAAAGTTTATTATCAATTCAACAAGCATCTCCGTATGTTTCATGTTGAGCGTATCTAATAATATCAATATTAAAGTTAGTCAAAACGGATTTCAATTTAAGAAAAATGATATAAAAATCGGACTTTCGAGTGCTCCGTAATCGGCGGAATTTACAATAGAAGAACAATTGCGATAGCTGATAGAAACCTTTCTTCTTCTCAATTTTTCATAAAGTAAAGAATTAAATTATTTTTTTACCTTTGATGGTCATTATTCTTGAAAAAAGATGTAATAGACTGGCAAGTCTTTGATATTTTCTTCTTGTCATTTTCGAGTTGGTCAATTTTTCTTTTTTTCGTCGGCATTTTGCGTGTTGACGATTTACAATATACTATTGGAATGATTCTTTTTTAATGAACGTTATTTTATAAATAACAAATACAATAGAAATGAACATCGTTCACATTTATTTTATAAATTCTATTTTGCATCGTCAGGTGTTAAAAAATCAACTCATTTAACTTGGATGTTTGGTGCTTCAGGGCAAAGGGATTAGACAGGGTCGTAAATTTCACCTGATTAAGTAATTGACTCTAATCAAATAGGTGATTATATACAGGTAACAAGTGTCAACAATATTAATCTGTTGTCTTAATGAAGTGTGTGTATAAAGAACTCAACAAAATGGCGACGACATGAGGAAAAAAGATCGTTTTTTAAACTTTTTTCAAAAGGGCACAGAGGGGCGCACCAGAAGGGCAGAGGGGCAGAGGGGCGCTTAAAAAAGGCAGAGGGGCGCAAAATTTCGGGGGCGGGGCGCGGCGCCCCTCCATTTCATGCTAGCTGGAACACTGAACTATAATATAGATGAGAGCATGTCATTGTTTTGTTCCTGTTAACATTGTCATTGATATTTTTCAAGAAAGTCTATGAGGCATAGCTTATGCATTCCTGTCATTACTACATTAGCATAATTACTGCTAAAATAATTCTCAGTATGATATACCTCTTGTAAGAAATCATTAAAATTGTAGCAATCACCAAAAAATCTCAAACAGATCATATTGAATCGTAATCCAAAAAATTATGACCGTCTTGAATGAACCACCCCCTTTTATTCTAAAACGATAATTGCGGTTGTAAACAGACTTTGGTTTATTCGCATGGCGATTACATATATAACTATATATTTCAAAAAGAAAATAGAGTTTTACCATGGATAGTTTCCTGCACGTAGTCTATTTCAGTAAAATGTGCCTTGCAAACAACAGCTGATTGAGATGGACTCCACTGTTTCATCGTGTTCTCGTCCAATCTGCGTATGGGCCATGGCGTTGATCCAACTTTTCCTTCTTTTTAAGTCATTTGGAAATGCATGTCCTCCTCTTAAATGACACCCAGGTACACAACAAGTACTTGGCATCGTTAATTTAAAATGTAACTGAAATAGTTGCACAGTGCAGAAACCGGAAATTGAGGAACAGGATCGGCTTCCACGGCGCCACCTATTCAGGAACGATAATTTGCTACTTTATATAACTGCGAAATAACAATAACGTTAGACGGGTTCACGTGCATAAACAGAAATGCGCTTTAAATTGTATAATATAATTCATGTTCAGTCGACCTTTAATTATTATATCAACGACTGAAATGATTTATAAACATATAGATTGCAGATAACACTCGAAATTAACCCGAGCTCTTTCCACACGGAATTCAAATAATTCTAGTTTGTCAATCGGTTGACTGCTTATAATGCAAAATACAAATATATTTAAAGTTTTTAAAACTAACAAAACACAATGATCGTTTCTCTATTTCCCAATGTAAATGAAATGAAACAAAAAACATTTTATATCGCAATAAGAAGAGGAGAGAATTCAACATTTCCGGATCTACTTGGAGCCTAACGACCCCCCACGTAGATAAGATGGATATCGCGGAAGGAAGGATTAACCCGTCAACTAGAAAGGCATTAAAGCACTGCCTTTAAAAATGCACCATTATTAATAGCTTTCCTTGCTTATTCACAATGATGTACAAAATGTATAAATATATCATCCATGCTATTCCGATCTGAGTTTTTATTCATACATAGTCTTGTGCTGTTCCAAGTAGTCTTCTTTTTCTGTTTCTTGAGAAGTATTTGTTTTACCTGTTCAGTCACTTTAAAGTGTTACAATTAATATTTAGACGCAACACAGAATAGTGACCAAAAAGGTACTGCTATCATATGAGAGGAGCTAGAAAAAAAAATGAAATGTACACATTATTAACATTTTTGTGGGACCATCAAGATGTGGTTTCACTGACTTTTTTGTCAATATATAGACAGATATTCATAGACCAAATAACAAATAAGCAACAAATTCAAAAGTAGATGTAGGATGAATTATAGAAAGAAGGGGTACCCAGGGGCCCGAAACTTGACAAGGTTTGGTTTGGAACAAGTAATATGTCTGCATTAACATAAAATGTAGGTTTTAAAAGGGGGACCCAGATCGCTTTTCCCTAAATCCTTTTCTGAAATTAAAGGTAACCGCATATTTCTGGGCGCAGTTGAAAATAAATGAACATGAATTTGAAAAAGCAAGAATATTAAGCTAAAAGAAATAGACCAAATTTGGATTGATTGATTGATTGTTGGTTGCTTAACGTCCAGTGGCAAATATTTCATGCATATTCAGGACGAGAACAAGTTAACAATAAATACAATAGGTAGGTTCTGTAATAGGGGCTTCCAGGATTAAGGTAGGAGAAATTTAGACTGCCACGGAAAAAGAGGGTATATTGGATAGGGACAGAAATTTAGCCTTGCAACAGGTCATCTACTGACCCCTCAAAGAGTTGTTGCAAGGGTTCTTAACGTGCATAGAGCGTGGCACTCTCTATACACGAAGCATCGGATTTAACGTCCCCATTCTGACCGGACGTGGCTGCAAATTTGTACATCCCGCACAGCCAAACGGATGCCCCACTTTGACAAGGGTTCTACTGCCGGTTGGAAGAAGACCAATTGTGACTATACTTCTATTCCCCAGTCACCCTTGGGGGTGACCAAATTTGGATGACATCTATTAACATGTTTGAAATAATTATGAAGTTGACAAGAATAGAACTTGTTCAGATAATATACAGTCAGCCTACAGATTTGTTGCTTCCTGAAATGTCTGCTTACACAGTGCTTTCCTAAAATGATTTGTAATGTGATCGTTTTCATGATGAATGATGAGCAAACATAGATTATGCCGTTGGTTTTCACGTTTGAATTGTTTTACATTGTTATTTCGGGGCCTTTTATAGCTGACTATGCAGTATGGGCTTTGCTCATTGTTGAAGGCCATAAGGTGACCTATAGTTGTTTATTTCTGTGTCACTTTGGTCTTTTTTGGAGAGTTGTCTCATTGGCAATCATACCACATCTTTTTTTATATTATAATGACAAGATAAATGTTATGTTACCCACCCAACTAAGTAAAATATATAACTTCTCGTTGAACTTCTAAAACGATAAATCTGCTGATTCATATCGTATCATTCAATGCTGTCAGATGCTATGTGAAAAATAAAGAAATATACCTTAATGTATGCTTCCATTATATTTGGCATTGTTATTCAGTTATGTCCAAAGCAGAACTTATGAAAGGCATGCAATAATTTATTTTCAATAGATGCATTTGAAAAATTTATTTTCGGCACTAGTAAAGCGACGTCTATGTTCATGATGTCATGTGATCATCTATATATATAAGAATATTTCAATAGAGTTGATTTATTAAAGATGGCTTTGAATCCTACTTATTGCTATTTGTCTGCAATTACTGGCCATCACAAAGGTTCACGTAAAAATGTTGACGTCATAATACAAAATATCTGACGCCACAATGGAAAAGTGATTGTAGTATGATGTCCATGGTTGAAGCGGGACAGATTCTCAGGTCAGCTGGGACAGAATTCCATAAAGAGATTAGGTGTATGGTTATTATATATGGGTACTATGTTCAGGAGGATGAATTCTAATATATATACATGTATGTAAAAGGTATCCGGTCGTTCCGTCCCCAAACCGATCCGGCCCCAAGTCGATCCATCCCAAGTCGATCCGGCCCACGTCGATCCGTCCCTACGTCGATCCGGCCCCATAATAAAATATGAATAAACTATGTTGACTTTGGAGGATTTTGTGACAAATTTTAACAGTATAAATGGAATTTGTAAAAAGTATCGTTGATGGATGAAAACAGGTAAGTGAAGTATTGGAGTACCAGTCAAAGAATTATTTTACATCGATACGAAAATGAGTGTGATTGTGTTTGTTTGTATAGCAGCTTCAACATATTTTAATATGAAGTTATTTTCCATGATAACTTTGAATGTCATGGCGATTTTTATCTTATTTAACTCATCATAATGACTTGTTTAATCAAATCATTAGTCTATAATTGGTTTGTTTATTCAGCAATTGTCTAATGAATGTGAACTAAGGTAATGCCACTCGTAATCACTTAATTCAATCAAATCCTGATTGATTAAAGTTACGTAATCAACAAGGTCTTTATAGTTTGATCTTTTGTTTGGTGTTATGTGTTATAATAATTAATTGTATTTTTTTAAGGTAACATCAGAGGCTTCTATAATACATGTTTTTTTTTTTGTAATATCGAATATAGTCAATATATGTTTTTAAAGTTGACAATATTTTGAATAGTTGTGTGTAGATTAAAAAAACAAGTTATATGAGTATCCATTATTCTTTATTGCAAGATAATAACAAAATAATTACACTGAATGCACATTTTCACTCTCTAAAATATAATATCAGCATTACTGTAATGCTGAATTTACTATAATATAACAATAAATTCATACACACTAACAAACACACTATCTCTGACACTCACATAAATATATATAACTCTTAAATCGTTTACACTAACAGTTACACTGTCACTTACATAATATAAAAGGGGTCACACTTGCAGCACTACAATAACATATACAGTAACTACCATACGCAGTACGTATACATATATAATATATATCCATTAATCTTGAAAACTTATAATGAAAACATAATCAACATAGTTGTTTTAAACTCATCTGAAGAAAATATTTGTCAAAGGCCAATTTTTTTTTACCGTACACCTTTTACATTATAATAAAATTCATAAACATTTATGAATTACAATTAATATATATCTTTAGTTTTATTCCTTATAAATATATTTTTTTATTGGGCCGGATCGACTTTAAATATGGGCCGGATCGACGTTGGGCCGGATCGACGAAAAAGCTATGTAAAATACCTGTTGGGTTTTGGATTAACATCCTGGATCTGGATTTCCTTATCAACCACCATCATTGTTAACGCATCCAAGTCATAAACTAGAGCCTTTACATACATGTAGTCAGTTCGATCTGCCAATATCACATATTACAAATACTTATACAATTATACAGCCGATAGATTAAACTCAGCACCATTGTATATTGATGATTATACATGATAGTATCAGCTCATTCAGATTTGAAAAGGTTAGCAAAATAGCAGCACCATCTGAAAATGGGAAACCTTGATTATCTCGAGCATGTGAATCAAAGCAAATAGTAATTATCATCACGACGAAATATACTTATTGTAAGACCTGATACATTGTACATTGTAATGTGAACAAATTAGAATTGGATTTATCTATATCAACCATTTGTCAAATGCAGTTCTCAGTGCTGTTGATATATCAATTAACAATGACTGCTGAGCGCCACTGTGTTCAGTGGCAGATCCAGAACTTTTCATAAAGGGGGGGCCTATATAATCAACCAAGGGGAGGGGTGGCCACAGCCCCCCCCCCCTCCCCCCCCCCCTCTGCCTGGGGTGTACAACGACTCCAAAGAATAAATCATCATGTACGAGTACATTAAACTGTCTACCCCACACGCGAACATCATTTGGGACCTCGCTGTGTTGCAAGTATCTTGGGTTTTCAGGCATATTAATTGTACAATTAAATGAGACTTACCTTAAGTCGAAATTTGATTGTAATTTTGTTGAATCTATTTATGCTGAGAGTTAACATGAGATGCGCACGCAGATCGTAGAGGTCACTTTTCAGAGAATGTAACAGAGCACATAAGCACATGATACACCAAAAGAAAACTGGGTGGGAATACGAGTGATAGGGAGGGCATGTTAACTCTCAGCATAAATAGGTTCAACAAAATTACAATCAAATTTCGACTTAAGGTAAGTCTCATTTAATTGTACAATTTTATTGAACCTATATGCTGAGAGTACCATGAGATTTCAGAGATATGTGATCTGTTACTCATGTTCACTGATTTATTACAGCCTCATCAATCATGATTTATTTTCAGGCTTTAAAAAACAAAATGTTGTATCAACTTTGTATTCTATCAAAGTACAAAAGTAAAGTAAATCAAACATACATTGACATATGCACATGTTATGTTAAACTTTAAAATGTCATTGATTGTAAATCTAACATATGTATTATCATTATTCATGTTATACATGAGACTTATCAGAATTTGATAAAATATGACTTCTCAAAACCTTCACACTATAATTATCATTATAATTTTGTTTAGATACAGGTTTATCATAAAATTTTCTGAATGTTGATTCATTTGACCAACCTGCCGCTTTTAAAATAGTATCTACTGAAGTAGCACACCGTAGTGCTGCAGATGTACTTGCTGATCTAGTACTATGTGGTTTGTATATAGTTATGTCTACACCAGACGTTTGCAAAACAATCTTAACCCAACGCCCAAGAGTGTCTTTAGACACATGAGAATATGGTTTTATACAGCTCAAGATTAATTTTTAGGTTTTCCGAAAACATGATGTTCTAACTAAATACTCTTTTAGAACAGTTACAATACACAGACTATTATCGTCAATAAAAGCTGGCAACTCTATTGGTTGTAAATGCCTCCCTGGCTTTGAACATTTTAATAAACTTCTCACATCTATATATATGTTACTATCTGTAACAGTTATATCATCTAAATCTAAGCTATGAATGGTTTGTAACCTTTGACCTGTTAACAATAATAGCAGTGTAACTAGCTTATATGATAAAACACGTAAAGATAACATATAAACTGGTGTTAATGTCTTCAAATATTTAAGCACGACTTCAACATCCCAGGTTCTTTGATATCTGGGTAATGATGGCTTAAGATTGAATATGCCTTTTAGAAAGCGCTTCACCAATGGCCATTGCCCAACAGTTTTCTCTTGATTTACAGACATAAATGAAGATAACATACTTCTGGCAGTATTAATAGCACTGTAACCTAAACCTATTTTATATAACGAAGTTAAAAATTCTAAAACATTTAACTCAGTGGCTTTAAATGAATTAATTTTTCGTTCACTGCAAAATAACAACCATCTTTTGAAATATGTCCAATATTGTTGTCGAGTAGCTGGTTTCCAAGATGCAATGATGATTTCGGAAGATTCTTTTGATAATCCATAATTTTGCAAGATTTCCCCGATATCCTGAAAACTGCTAATCGTAATTTCACTAAATGATGCTCTTTTGTTGGATTCTGGGGTTGATAAAGAAGATTTTTTCGACTGTTTATTATAAATGACTGTGCCACAATCCGATGAAGTATTTGTGGAAACCAGTTCTGAGTGTTCCACAATGGTGCCACTAATGTCATGTCCGCTTGATCCTGGTCCACCTTTTGCAATATCTTCCCTATCAGACTGAAAGGTGAAAAACAATAACAATTAATGTTACTCCATTTTACAGAAAAAGCATCTACTGCTTTAGCATATTTATCCGGAAAGTAAGAGAAATAACGTGGTAATTGATGATTAAATTTTGATGCAAACAAATCTACATCATGTGGTCCAAATAAAAAATCAATAATATTAAAAACATCATCATGCAATTTCCACTCAATATCCACATTTATTGATCTCGATAGTCTATCTGCTTCTATATTAGCAACTCCTGGCAAATGACAAGCAGTAACCCAAATTTGTCTTTGTATACACCAAATCCACAATTCCTTTGTCAAATTGTTTAACTTTACAATGCGGCCACCCATTTTATTAATATAATTCACTGCGACCATGTTATCTAGATACACTTTTACATGAATGTTGTTTCTTGACAAACAAAACCAAATTAATGCTAAAAAAGCTGCCTTAAGCTCTAGAAAATTAATATGGTTTTTCTGTTCTTCATATGACCAAAACCCTTTGGTTTCGAACAATGTATCTTGCACAACTGCACCCCAACCAGTGTTTGAACTATCAGTGTTAAGAATAAACTTCGGATCTATTAAAGTCATTGGTTTGAAACTACTATTTATATTATTAACCCACCAATTTAAATCTGAAATATTTCCATCTGACAAAGACATTTTTGCATCAAAATTTCCATAATTTTGTTTTAATAATATATCTTTTGTAATTTCTAAAGACTTTATATATAATGGTGCATACTGTACACCTGGTTCCGTTGCTACTAATTTTCCAATAACTTGTGCAAACTCTCTTATTGTAATCTCTTTTTTGAGAATTAACCGACTACATAATTTAATTATATTGTCTGCCTTTTCTTCTGTTACTCTAATACACATTGTTATTGAATTAATCACAAAACCCAAAAATACAATAATTTGAGTAGGTTGAAGTACAGATTTATCTGGATGTATGGTAAAACCAAGATGATCTAATAATTGTACTGTGTCAATTATATTACTTTGACATCCAGAAAAGGTCTTGCTCACAAGTAAACTATCATCAATATATGGTGTGTTGCAATGTCCTTTACTTCTCAGTTTTGAAAAAACAACTTTTAAAATTTTTGTGAAAATTCGCGGTGCTGTTGTTAATCCATTTGGCAAACAAGTGTATTCATACAAAACCTCATTCCAATAAAATCTAAGATATTTCCTATCTTTTTCATTGATGCTAACAGAATAATATGCATCTTTTAAATCAACAGAACCAAACCAGCAATTTTGTGTAATGTTTGTTATTGCTGTTTTAAAAGTTTCCATTTTAAAATGAATTTGTTCAATATCAAGATTTAACTGTTTTAAATTTAAAATTACTCGATAAGTGCCATCTTTCTTGGGTCTCACAAAAATATTTGAAACATACTGATCCTTAATTGGAGTAACAGGTTGAATAATTGTTTTTGAAATAAACTTATCTATTTCTTTTTGTACATATTCATTTTCTTCACTGCTGAATACAAGTGGGTATGGCTTTATAAGCTGTGTAGGAATGTTTTCAAATTCTAACTGATAACCTTTAATAATATTTAAGATCCAATAGTCAGATGTTAATTCCTTCCATCGATGAAAAAACTTTGAAATTTTCCCCCCAATAAAATTATTAGGAATATTTTGAAGTTTTATAGCAGTTAAGTCAATCAAGTGATCATTTGTACTTACATCACTATCAGAAATAACATGATCTACTTTTTGTCTTTGTTTTTCTTCTTGTTGAATGTCTTGCTGCGGTCTAAAAAACCATCATCATCATATTTCCTTATTCTTTTGATTGGTTTTCCTCCATCAATGTGGCGTTTTCTTTTCCCAAATTTATGAGGAAATCCACGCCCTCCATGGCCATGATGGCTACGTCCCCTGTTAGAAGACTGATATGAGTTCTTGGGATTATCATACGTATAATTATGGTCCTTCCCAACTTTTTTACACACACTATGCTCCGCATCTAGCTCTTTGATTTTTTCCTTAATATCGTCCCCAAACAGCATGTCAGTGACTGGTGTGGTATCATCACACAGACCTTTATACTGGGGTTGAATGTCCCCCTTAATGAAACTCCTTCGTCTGAAGGTTATTTCGCTATAACAAGCTTGAAATAGCTGGTACGTATCTCTGCACGTAACTGCATATGCTTGCAGTTCCTCTCTAGACATTCCTTCTTTCTTTGAAGATTTATCCACAAACATATCCATCATATACATCAATGGGCAAGCTGTTTTAGACAAAAGATTCTGTAAACGTTGTAATTTTACATCCACATCTTTATTCCGTGGTGTCATTTGTTTCCAAATACCTACAATTATAATATAAATTTAGTATATACACTAAAAGTTTATAATGTGTATATTATTATTACATGTAAAGGATTTTTACGCAATATTTATACGTGTACACATTTCGCATAATCATGTTAATTATTGTGAGTTTTTAATTATATTTATAATACTATATTATTTATTACCATGTAAATTATGGTTTGTATTATAAAAAATTTATTTGCAGATACACTTGATTTTTCACAAGATAAAATTTTTATTAAAATGCAATTTAATTGCATAAATCCTCACCTATGTTGACTCGTGGGACTTTTAGACTGCTCACATTAGCAGGCTTATCATATTTCTTTGTGAGATCTTTGTATTTTTCTTCATTGACTCGTGTCCTCAGTCCCTGGTTCATGTATGAGGCTAAACCAGAATTAATTTTTGGACCTGTCTTTTCATCTGTACTAATGAAGTCTTTCATGGATTCTAAGACATTTTCATTTTCTGCCTTTTCAATATCATTATCTACTTCATTCTCAGAACATGCTTCATCATCGCTATCGTAACTTTCGTCACTAGAAATATCTGAATATAATTCAGACGGTGCAGATATGTTTTTAGTTTGGTTATTGTTCATATCATTATCAAACAAACTGTCCAGTTGCGATTGGTAATCATCCTTTGTGGGTTTATTTTTCACGACCTTTCTTGGTCCGGCCATTGTTGCCGATTGTCTAGGATTTACCTTTGTGGAACTTTGTGTAGTATCAGTTCTTGAATTCTGATTTTTCATCAAAGTTTGGATATACAATTGATTTTGCAGTAGCATATTGTAGATATCCGGTGTGACTACTTCCGGAGTGTGAGTGACAGGAGCATTGCTCATGGCTCCTCCTCCTACATTAATGTTTTCAATGCTTGCTTGAAACCCACTAATATTGTTATCATAACCTGGCGAAATAAGTTGCCTGTGGTCATTCATAATGCTAAAAATATTGTCACTTTTTGAACTAGTCTTGGCCGTGCCAGTTAGTTCCGATACCGAGTCAATGCTCGAATGTTCAGCCATGTCATTAACAAATGTATGCTGACAACGTGACAAATTATCCATCACAAGCTACATCGTTAGAATATTAATCCATCAAAAAACTATATCAAATCGTAAAGTTTGTATTCCAAATGTCACAAATATATTAATTTCCAGTTAAAAACAATTAAGATATCCATTATTTTCAAATAACCATAAGAGGGATAAATTCCATGACTTGACCTCATAAGACCTAATACGCTAGTGACCTCTACGATCTGCGTGCGCATCTCATGGTACTCTCAGCATATAGGTTCAATAAAATTCAAATTGCTCATTGCTGCCTTTTTTAATATCATCTATCTATAGTCGTAGACGTCCAGCTAGAGGGGTCATTAAACAAACTATAGTGCACTGAAACCCTTGCCCATAACTAAACCGTGATGCTTGGTGTTTGCTTCCTTGCACACACGCAACCATATTACTCACCTTGTTTGTTTTCTATTCTTCTAATCAGCTGTTTATGCAATTGTCTGTTTTGTTTACATCAGAAATCAATGAAGCGGTGAATGCGCGGGGAAACGAAAGGACATCTTCGTATCAATACGGTAAATGCCGTGATTTGAATATTTTCTAATCAATATGTTCAAGCAATGAAAAATATGAGGATAACATTTTTAATCATAGAGCACACGTTCTGTATTTACTATTTAAAATTATAGTTTATGAAGAAATATAGCAAAATATGTTTCAATACGCACTATAAAGTGAAGATTAGATGTATTATTGTTTTGTTTTTGAAAGAACATTAATAATCCATAAATACACACCTTTGTACCAAAATTGCAACAAAATTTGAAGATAACATAAATTTCATCATCACAGAATGATATTATTTGCTCAAATTGACAGGGCTTCGTGAACTAAATTTGGCTAAAATTATGATAGCAGTTGAACACTTCATTATAGTTTCTACCGATGACCTACTATCATGATTTTTATCCGACCCCACTTACGGACGCGTTGACATATAATGCATACAACTCAATAATAGCCAATCAGACGTTAAGATATCCTTCACTTCCCCCAGAAGCAGTCCGGAAGCAGCTGAGATGCAGCCATTTAATGTTATTTATAACCAATGAGATACCGTTAACAGATTAACCACATTCCAGACGTCCAGCCTCTGACTAATCAGACCGTATCACCATGGTGATACGGTAATTAGCCTGGCTAATCTTGTCAGTATAGCCAGGCGTGTATCAATGTCCTGCCTGTCAATGATTGGTTAATACTAATTTTGTCGCGCAATGTTTGTTTTACATCTGTATCCAATCAATTTTTATTTAACATCAATTAGTAAAAATTAGACTTTTTATTTTTCTTTATGAATTGATGTACAGTGTTATCATATCTAATTATTAGTATGATGATAATTAGTAAGCAGAAAAGGGTTAATTCTTATCAGCAATCAACTGGTGAGAAAGTTAAAAGTTTAACATTTCACATGACCACGGTGTGAATTGGATTTCACTTTTACGACCTAATTTACATGTACACATGTATCTCAAAGGGCAAAATATATATGGAAAAAACCATAAAAAGTAAAGGCCAACACAAATTGCAGTTATTTTTTTTTGGGGGGGGTTACATTTCAAATGATGTGTACATGTGCGAAGATACACCATCGTACATCTATTTTAAGGGCATACGATACAGTAGAGATCCCTCGTTGATTTTTTCTTGAAATTTTGGTAGAAGGTCAAGTTTAATGTGTACTTTTGAAATGTGCAAAGAAAAATATACCTTCATGACTTACTTTTTGAGATAATTTGGTTCGAAATTTGCATATTTGAAGGAAAACCACTGAAATTGCATAAATAAGGACTTTTAAGGAAAGTAACAATACTTTTGAACGAACAGTCATAATTTAACCGGGTTTTTTGTAAAATGTTCCTTTGAACCACGGCATCAAAATGCTGTAACAAGTTTAAGGTTTTACTTAATTTTTGTTTTTTTAAATTATATATCTATTAGTGAAATAAAGAAATTGACAACATTTTTGCGTCTATTCAGAAGTGCAGAAAAAATTTGATCGTTGATTTTTTCTTAGAATTTTGGCGGAGCGTCCCTGAAACATTCCTTGATTGATTGCAAAAGAAAAAAATGGGTGTCCATGTGCTTGTTTTTTCAATAAAAGCAATAAACCATGATTTTTAATGACAAACGGGACGTTTGCCAATAAGGCGCTAAATTACGTTAAAATAAGTTTTAATCGCAACAACGTCGTGAAATCTTTCCCGTCGTTCACGACGCTTTCATGTCGATCCGGCCCCACGTCGATCCGGCCCACGTCTATCCGTCCCACGTCGATCCGGCCCAACGTCGATCCGGCCCATATTTAAAGTCGATCCGGCCCCAATAAAAAAATATATTTATAAGGAATAAAAATAAAGATATATATTAATTGTAATTCATAAATGTTTATGAATTTTATTATAATGTAAAAGGTGTACGGTAAAAAAAATGGCCTTTGACAAATATTTTCTTTAGATGAGTATAAAACAAGTAGGTTGATTATGTTTTCATTACAAGTTTTCAAGATTATTGGGTATAATTATAATAAAAACGTATATAACAGAATTTAGTACAATCAACAGACATCAACATTAATCAGCAGTAATTATCATTTTCTTTCAATTGACTGTGATCTTAACAAGTCTTTCATCATTTGTTTTTGTTGAATAAACAAACCAAGTATAGACTAATGATTTGATGAAACAAGTCATTATATTATGAGTTAAATTTTATAGGTTCCATTGGACTGTTAATATTTATTTAGCTATTATGTGTGTGAATTGAATAAAATAAAAATCGCCATGACATTCAAAGTTATCATGGAAAATAACTTCATATTAAAATGTTGAAGCTGCTATACAAACAGACACAATCACACTCAGTTTCGTATCGATTTAAAATAATTCTTTGACTGGTACACCAATACTTCACTTACCTGTTGTCATCCATCATCGATACTTTTTGCAAAATCCATTTATACTGTTAAAATCCTCCAAAGTCAATATAGTTTATTCATATTTTATTATGGGGCCGGATCGACTTTGGGCCGGATCGACGTGGGCCGGATCGACTTGGGACGGATCGACTTTGGGCCGGATCGACTTGGGGCCGGATCGGTTTGGGGACGGAACGACCGGATACCGTTCAGGACTACGCTGTCAAGTTCAGTGGTATACCCAAGGTTTTTTTTTTCGAAATCAATGATATTTATCATCAATATTTATAAAGATAGTTACTCGTAAAGTAGCATAAACTATTTGCCAAACATTTATGAATTGTTACGAAACTTGGATAGAAAAAGTATTTTAGTAAATTACTTTTAGAAAAGAAATGACCGGAAACAAAAAAAAATAAATCTAATGAAAAAAAATAATTTGCATCTGTGTCCGAAATTAGTCCTACATTTCATGTAGACAACACAGCTTGGGCATAGTTTTAATTATTCAAAGGGCCCCGGCATGACAAACAATTATAAATTACAAAAAAAAGTAAATGGGATGACATAAAATAAGGACATTTGGTACATGTATGAGACAACTTTATCAATCATAGTTCAAATGACGAAGATAAACACAATTAAAGGTCACCGTACGGCTTCGACACACAAAAAAGCCACATTTATTTCGTACTTTTCTCAATATATATAGTCCATTGCGGTGTAGTATATCATTTCATAGGAAGTACAGCAGTCGATATTAGAGCATACCATAGCATGATTCTGTATCAATAGATAGGTTACCTTAGCTTGTAATCAGGCAGGGTATTTTTTATTACGGTACATATTTGTCTGTATTATACCGGCCTCCAATCTAGGATTGGGTGCAACACCATTGTTTGTCCGTCCGTCCGGTGGTCCAACAAATTTTTGTTTCTTATCTGATAAACTACCTTACAAAAAGACTTTGTATTTGGTCAGTAGCTTAACGACAGTGAGTTGCAACTTGTAAACACTTTTCTTGTCTGTCAGATACCTAATTCTGGTGTGCCGATACTTCGATTGTTTTCTCTCAATATGTACATAGGGGATAAGCTTAGTGCATGAACGGGTGCGTTTTTGTTTTGGTCTGTAATACGTACGGGGCTCATAACTGTGTTTACTTAACTAAGAGTTATTCTTCATACACATTTAAATATTCAACTGGGTTACTTCTAAAAATGTCGTTAAACTTTTTAATGTAATTTTCAAAGTCAGGTACAGTATGAGGCATTGATAGTCTGGTTAATTTATCCGTACAATTGTCATTCGATTTAGAGCTTGCCAAATGGTGTATATATAGATACTATATTATGGTCAAGACAGAACGTTGAATTATTTATTGGGCTTTTTGTGTAGTTGGGTTTCTGTCTCCTCAACGTATTATTTTATTTACATATCTTTTATTCATTTCCTATATGAAATAAAACACATACAAAACTATGACTGTGGATTTGATTTTTTTTCACATTTCAAGTAAATACTGTTGACTCCATTACTAATGAATAAATATTACAATTTTCGTGATATGGTCAATTTTTTTAGCAGGTATCTTTTTCAAATTCGCGCAATCGGATTATGACGTCAGTGGATATTTCCGCAAATGTGACTACATCTAAAGCGACGTCGCAAAATGTAATCATTCTTTTAAGAAACATCGCGAAATTACAACGTTCTGATTAACAACATCGCGAAAACAACACGAAAAGTTTTGAATACGTTATTATCTGCCCTTGCTACTGTATCGTATGTCCTTAAATTATAATTACATTCGACAATTACAATATTTATTAAGTTTGATTTTTTTTTATTATAAAGAGTTGTTTCGTTGACTCTTACCCCATATAATCCTTCCTGATAAAACATATATTAAATGTACAACATTTTTCAAAGTTTCTTTTGATTACACATACTAGTATTTATTTATACCAGAGACATATATGTCTCTGTTTATACTGTTTAATATATATTTATTTTATTATATTACTGACAATGGGGACTCGTCAATCCGGCTGAGAGCAAAGTTTATTGAATCAG